TTATTGATATAAAAATCTATTTCGTATTTTTTGTTAAATATATTTCATGACTCTTATCAGTTTTTTGAGAACATGGATAAGGTAAGTGTTTAAACTCGAGATTAAGAAATTGTGTAACTTCATGGAATACAATTTTGTGAACTTTCTGTTGAACTTTATATTTTCGTTATAAATCAGTATTGTTCAATACACTTCAAGAAGTAATTTATCATATTTTCTCCCTTAAATACAGATAAAAACAATACAAATTTTATTATTTTATCCTATTTTCTTCAATTTTTGTTTCTGTTTATTTCCGAAAAATTACATTAGGTTTATCATCATTTTTTACTATGAAAGTGCTAGTTATTAATGTTAAATATGCATACAGTTTCTATTTTATTACAGTCACTTAAATTGTTCATCCCTATTTAAGTAACAAAGAAGAAATAATTGCGTCTCTATACCTATCATTACTATTTAAAGGCATTTATTAAAGACATCTTATTTTATGCTTACTGCAAATCGCTAATGCTTCGAAAGTTTAATTGTGATAAGTTTTAAAAGCACTTTGAGTTTGTAGAGCCATTTAGAATTTTTTCGATGTGAAAAAGACCGCCTGGGATTCGAAATTTAGATCTTCCGATTACTCCTCGGATGAGCGGCGGACCACACAAAGATGCGAAAATCGTGTGTGCGGTGCCCGCAAGTCATTGTTTCTTAGCTCTTACGATGTATCATACGACATGGTTGTGACATCGTAGACGCAATAATTCCTTCCATTTGATACTACAAGAGACATAACTTCACGACCAGTGTCAAGACATTTAAGCGTTCTGCATTGTGTCCATTGTCAAAGCCTCTCGATTTCAGGAGAGCTGACGAATCTGTGATCTTGTTCTTCCTCTGATATCGTTCCAGATATAACGAAGCAGAGGATGTAAAATACTGAAAGATTAAGGAGGCATGGCTAATTCAGTTTGAAGATTTTTTTTCCATCGGAACGACACTTGAGAATGCTCTTGAACTCTCGACTAGAGAGACCTTTGTTTATAAAGTATTTCTCCCGCCTTCTTCGCATGCCTTCGCGGTGTGGTGGTGTGCACGCTCAGCGCGTAATTGAGAGGTCCGCGGTTGGATTCTTGGCGAAGGCGTTGCTAATTTTTCATCTTGCCTACTTTCAAAAAATACCTAACGTCTCCACAGTGGTGCCCGAACTAAAAGGGACTAAAAGGGTGTTGGATGATAATTCTTCTCACCCACGATTTGACGATTGGGTCCCCTTACAATCATGCATATAGATGTTAGCTTCTAAATTAAAGAGAAATATAATCATGATTTATTTTAATATAATTATTATAACTAAATGAAGAAATTTCTTTTTTTTTTCATCAATGTATATAATGAAAAATATAAAATCGAAATATAAAAACCTCAGTCGCTCTTTAAAAGGGGGAGTATATAAGGTATTTCTCCTTCCTTCTTCGCATGCCTTGGTGGTATTGTGGTCCGCACGCTCAGCGCGTAATTGGGAGGTCCGTGGTTCGATTCCCGGCGAAGACGTTGCAAATTTTTCATTTTTCCTGCTTCCAAAAAATACCTAATGTCTGTACACGTTAACAGGATCCTCACGTCACGAGAACTATACTTCACTTCAATAACTGTTCTATGCTATCCATAAATTATATATATTTCCAAAGAGCTTCTCGTAATTGTAATAAATATATTTTTGAGTTCAAAATGCAGTAACTATTACGCAACCTCACAAATGTGCCAATTATTATACGGAGTCAGATGCGTTATCTGTCGCCAGCCCCCACAGTGGGTCAACTCTCCTGAAATCGAGAGGCTTTGACGACAGACACAGTACAGAATGCTAAAAACTCTTGACAATGGTCGTAAAGTTACCAATGACCTCTTGACAATGGTCTCTTATACTGTCAAATGGAATTAATTATTGCGTCTGCGACGTCAGAACCATGTCGTGTCACACATCAAGCTTGAAAACGGTGACTTGCGGGGACTGCATACACGATTTTCTCATCTCTGTGTAGTCCACCGCAGGGCGAAGAAAATACCATATAAGTTACATACGATTAGCAGTTTGACTGGGCTGATAAAACAGGAAAACTTACGAGCGAAATGGCTTCAAACGGTCCCACGCTGAGGTAGGTGACATCCACTCCCTTATTTCTTCTACCCTCATGGTATTCACATACAATAAGCAGGTATTTTTCAGTTTAATCGTTTATAATCTATCTAATAATTACGACATTTCTCTGCAGTTTTGTGTTCATTTGCACTTTCATTTGTTGTTCTCCTAAAAGTTAGGAATAAAATAAGTCAATCAATTAATACGGAGGGAAAACCAATATACCTTTTTAATGAGCGTTCTAGTGGTTGGCATTACAGAAGGTGCTAAGGATATCAAACTGATTTTGAATGAAATTTATCAGTCCACTTAATGTGTTAAAATTCTACTTTCGAAAAGTTTACGAATAAAAAAATTAAAGTGTTCAGAACATGCAGTGTTTTAGTATCATACAAGGTAGTATTAGTTAACATACAATGTCTGTCCCGAAAGTAATGCTCCCCATTTTCTTCTGCCGCGACTGTCCGTCGCACGGCCCATGGAGGTAGGAAAGGGAGGAGGGGCCATTCCGCGCTAGAAGTGAAGCACTGCTTTGAAGCTTGGGTCACCAGACGGGGTGTTTTTTGTTTACATTCAGAAGCTCGCTTGACAAAATTCTGATAGTATTTCGACACACGACAGTTCCATAGAAATCGAAAAAGGGACACTCTCGCATGAAAGAAACATTCATAGTGTGATGGATAATAGCAATTTGTATAGTTTACTGACATTTACGCAAAAATCACATCTTGGTTATTTTTCGATAACTAACAACAGCGATTTTGATTATGAATTTGTTTTATAAAATTCTAAGCTGTTGCACTAAAGAAAATTGCTAAAAGAGATCTGCCAAAATTTATTTTCTAGAAGATTTGAAAAGTTTGAAACTTGATGGCTAAATGTAAATATAAAATTATGTATGTTAAAATATTTGTAATTAGGCACATAGGTCAGATTAAGTTTTTATTAAATAGAGTAACGCATGCAAGGGCTATCTACCTAAAGAGAGAGATGCCATCGTGGGGAAATTTTGAAGAAAAATTGACCTTTGAGTGGGTATTAAAAATAATACTTATAATTTTCATTCAAATTATATTCATATATATATTTTATGTAAAACTTTCGGGTGTATGCTAAATTAGTGTAAATTACTTTACACGAAAAATATAGTGAATGCACAGAAATTAAAGATTTGCACATGCCGCAAATGATAAATAGGAAATATGTATGGGTATTTATGCATGTGCTTGCAAAAAGCATGTATCTGCCTTTGACAAAATACTTAAATATTCATTAAATTATTTATAAATGTATTTGAAATGAAGAATTTATTCACTTATAAACAACTGTGATAGTACTGTGAAGAAATCTAATTTATAATGATTATAAATGTTATCTAAATATATAATAACCTTAATATTGAATTGTAAACATAAATTGAAATCCTGTTGACAAATACGTTATAAAACTATTTAAGCAAGAATTGTTCGTATTGGAAAGCAATCTGTTAAAAGGTATTGTAAAGCAAATGCTATGAGATGCGCACTTAAGAACGTAATAAAGAGTTTTGGAATATGTATTGTTGAAATGAAGGGTAAAAAAAAAAAAAAAAAAATCTGATAAGTATAATTAAAAGAATTATTCCCTTTACATTTTATAATAACTCAGTTACAAGTTTTCAGTAATACTTTAAAAAAAAACTTATTTTATTCCCTTTCAGAAATGTTCAGAGAAAGTCAAATACTATTTTCCTAATAATTCTCTAATTTAAAATGAACCGAATAGAGCATTAATTATAAATTGACTTACATTTTTCGATTTTTAAAAGAAGCCAAAAAATCATGTCATATTTAAGGAAAGTATTTTAGGAAGAAGCTCTATAAATAGAAAAGAAATAATGCATAATTTTAATATTAATAATACAATAAAACTTTGATCTTAATTTTTGTACCTTAACCGAATAAAATCGAACTACCTTAATTTTTTTTCTAATGTAATTAACGAAAACTTGTGAAAAATATTTCATTCAAATTAAACCATTCTGAGAAAACTGTCCTGTGAAAAGTATAGCATTTAATTCCGTTCAGAATGAAATGTTGTTTAAAAATATGTTGTTTTCACATACTTAGGACTCTGAAGTGTTGTAGAAAAAGAAAATATATACATTTATATGTATATTTGCGACGTAATTACAAAATATTTACACCCGAACGCGTCAAATCCCATAGAACTCAATGGTAAATGACCCAATGTTTTGGTCACCACGTAGGGATCGCCGGTGCTTCAGAGCAGGGTACGGAGAAACTTGTTTAGGGCGACTCCTTCTTACTTCCTACCTCCATGGCACGGCCGGAAGGGTGGGCGAGCGCGACCAGCGCCAGTCGGCTCCGAGGTCCTGGAGAGTCACAGTGCCTGTTTCAGTGAACCCTTGCGTGAGTGCTCAGTCGAAATCAATATGGAAATAACTCTCGAGCAGCGATACGCGAAAAGTTTTGTTTCCCCAACCTTGAGAAAACGCCATCGGAGACTTTTGCTTTGCTTCAGGCCTGATTTGTCTCCGCCCGACTTCTTTTTGTTGCTGAAGATTAAAAAATCCCTCAAAGGACATCATTTGTGGACTCCGGAGAACATCAAGTCGGCTACGACGAGGTTCCTAAAGGACATCCCTGTGACGGACTACCAGGACGCATATAAACCATGACAATCGCGTTGGAACAAGTCTGTTAAAGCGGGAGGGATGTATTTCGAATACTGAGTAATTGTACGAATCGGTGCAATAAATTTCTTTAAAAAAATGGGGGCATTACTTTCGGGACAGACCTTGTACAGTGATCATAGGAACTTCTGAAGCATCCCAATAAAATACAAACTTGCGCTCTATTTGTTGCAGAGCTATGCGAAGACAAGCATGATCGCTGCGGCAAAAGTCCTGGATGGCCAACGAAACAGACATGTTCTATGCAAAAATTTCAGGTGGCAATGAATTACTGCCGGAAGATGTGCGGGTCATGCCGTAAGTTAAAAACTTCCTTTACATGAATAACATTTTTTTTTCGTTTTAAACGTTATTTTAGTTATCTTTTTATTTTAATACCCAGAAAGCTTTGAGGAGAATAATATGATCAACGTTTGCTGTAAAGGAATCTTTTGCCAGAATGGTTACGTTCTAGATATGGACAGAAAACCATGTAGATGTCATTTGCTTTGTCCAGGGCCTGACTGCGGTGAGTATGAATGGTCTGATTGCTGTTGTTTATAAATAAGCAACCTCTCAGTTATACAACTGTCGCTTATCTTTTAATCATACCACGATTTTTCTAATGTGAGATGTGAGGAATAGGAAAATTATTCTTTTCTTAATATATAACAATTTAAAGCTTACAGCTATGCGTTGTAACATTATTGACCTCGCTCAAATAAGAAGGATGAATGTTCTGGTTATGAAATAATTTGTGATACTTTTGAAAACTCTTCCAAATGTTTTAGTACGAAAGAGGTAAGCTAAAAATCGGTAGGAAGAATTAAATCATAAGTCTATCTGGCTCCACTGGGTCGCCTTGAGAGTTCCTCAGTGTTTTATGAAAAGGTAACTTCAAATTTTAAGATGATGATATATTGATTACAAAGTCATAATTCCTGAAAAAAATATCCATTGATATTATCATTACAAATTTTTGGTTATTGAAGTTATCATCTTCTTTAACACGTTTATGTGCGCCCGACAACCGAGCTTTAACTAATCACTTTATAGATCTATATTTATTATCTATAATTTTCAAAATTCCTAAATTCTGCATTGTCATCTACGCTCTGAACTTTGCAGTTTCGCTTATGTTACATCTCCAAGTTGTACTTTAGAATTTGCATTGACATGAAATTCCCGATATTGATGATGGTTGTGGACTATACCCATTAGTTTCCCCTCAGATGTTGCAAAAAGGCTGAAATCCTTTTATACATAAATTTCTTAATACGCGAGCACCGCTGAAACCAGGCACTAGACGTATTAAAAAAATCATGTGAGGAGTGGACGTATTAAAAAAATCATGTGAGCAAACATAGGGTGCTTGATCGTTTCTGATCGGCTGTGCGGCTTCATTTGTCGTTCCTGATTAGTTACGGCTGTCAGAAAATTTCACGTACACTGCGGGGGGGGGGGGGGGATCTTCGTCCTAGGACAGTTCTATATCTCTCGTCCTACTGCGCCGATTGAGGAAATTCAAATTGAGTTTTTCATGTCTCGAAAGCGTGACTTAGGATATGTATTAGATTTATATATAGCATTGTTCATTTATAGGTTTTTTGACACAAAATCGGACTTAATCTGAAATGACATGCCTAACTTTTTCAATATTTCGATTCTACGACTCAAATTATGCCGAATTGTCAAGTTTTGTAAAAATCGCACGAGGAATTTTTAAAAAATTAGCTCTCAAAATTTTAGCTCCTTCATGTTAATTGAATTTGGTATATTATTAATATCTCTTTTTAATATATTATTAATATATCTTTTTTATTAAACTTTTTCTTCACATTTCAAAATTTAGATTCATTTCAAATAAAATTAGCTGATTTTTCATGATTTATTTAATTTAAAAAAATAATTTTGATAAATTTTTCGAAAAAAAAAATTGAATTAAACCTATAACATTTTTACCATCATCTTAAAGTAGATGTATTTCTAGGCATACCTACAAAAAATTAATGTTTTTTATTCAGAATTTCCGAAGATATACGTGAATTTGCATATTGGCACGTTTTGAAATTTGTGATATTGGTTATAAGCAATAGTAAGACCAAATGTGGTTTACGGACTTAAGTTAAAATTATTTGAAAGTTTGAAAGATGATTTCTTTTCGCTCCTGTACAATGAAAAAAAGGAAAGGAAAATAGGTTGCTATAAATTAAGAAGTTCGCCAAGTGGCGCAAACTGAAAAAATTCGCCAAGGCATAATTTAGTCGTAGAATCGAAATATGGAAAAAATTGGCATGTCATTTCAGAAAAAGGCCAGTTTTTTTTCCGCAGTGTACACATGCATAAATGCCAGTTGTATGGAAATGCCATTTGTGAAAGATTCCCATCACTATAATAAGGAAACGAATGGCCCAGCATCCCACTTCCGCTCCTTCGTTAGATGAACTCTGGCAACGTGTGGAAACAGCGTGGATTGGCATACTCAAAGCCTTTTCTATCAATGCCCAGGCATTTTCGAAAAATGATTGCCAGATACGCCAAGCTGTACAAAATACTGATATCTTTGGGTTTCACGAATCAAACGGGATGGTAATTTTAATCATTACACCCTTGTTTATCTAGTAAATATGATTTATTACTATGATTAAATACGGCTTTGATATTAAAATTATTAAGTATGTCTTTGATATTGCTCCATTAATTTATCGATGTGAATAAAAATATACTAACGTTTACGTATCGAAATGGTGAATTAAAAAGATGATCATGATGATGATAAAGATGATACTGTTAGTTAAATATTTTCATATTTTGAATGCACTGAAAATGTTAGAATAATTGAGATACTAGTTTAAAAAAGTAAGTATAACACAAAAAGTACTGACACACATCAAAGAGTATGAAAATGAATTTTTTTTTCTCGCGATCTAAAAAAAAAACAAAATAATACGAACAACGTTTTCAGTAGATATATAGTAAACCGCATATATTTAATTAATACATACGTAACATGCGTTATTACTTCCTTGTACGAAGTAAAAAGGAAGTATTGTAATCGCGAAAATTTCGGGTATCATATTTCAACAAAAATATCGATTTTGACCGCTATCCAATGCAATTTAATGATGTTTTTACGTGACATCCACAAGTAAGGACAGAATAAAGGATTCTTCCCCCCCCCCCAAAAAAAAATTATAAAACTTATTTAAAATGAATTCTGAAGATAATTTTTCGTGACGTACGCACGTACGTATCTCGCATAACTCACAAAAGAGTATAAGGTATTTCTCCCACTTCCCTAGCGGGCCTTCGTGGTGTAACGGTAGCACGCTGGGCCGGTATTCCAGAGGTCCGTGGTTCGATTCCCGGCGAAGACGTTTGTTATTTTTCATCTTTTCTGCCTCTAAAAAATCCTAATGACTCTACAAGTGGAGCCCGAACTAAAAGGGTGTTGGATGAGGTTTCTCCACACCCAGGATTTGGCGACTAGGTCCCCTAAAACCCTAGTCGCCCTTTAAAAAGGGGAGTGTATAAGGTATTTCTCCCACTTCCCTAGCGTGCCTTCGTGTTGTAAAGGTAGCACGCTGGGCCGGTATTCCAGAACTCCGTGGTTCAATTCCCGGCGAAGGTGTTTGCTATTTTTCATCTTTTCTGCCTCTAAAAAAATCCTAATGACTCTACGCGAGTAGCCTCAGAACATTGAAATTTTTTATGTAGGACTGCTATAACATGTAGATGTGCACCTCGTATTTTGGTTGCAATCGGTAGCACTAAAAGTATATAAATATATGTATATATCCACTCACTGTGTTAACCGGCTCAGTGATCTCAGTTTCTTTACTGTTATATGTTTGTAAGTTGTGCGTTAAAAATGATTGAATTATGTTGTTCTTATCTTCCGATTAAGGTTTTTATCCCTTTAGTAAATCTGCATGCAATAGTTGTTTAAGTGCAGCTAAGCCTAATGAATTTTACGATGGCGGACATGTTTGTTTACATTTTAAACTTGGCAAAATAGCGGATTTGTTGCCAGTCTAGAGAAACTAAGCTCCGCAACAACAACGATAACGCCTTCTTTTATTATTGCGAATTAAATCACGGTTAATCTATTCTGGAATTTATTCGAGGAAATAAGTGTTTAAGATTTACTTCGTAATTTTTAATATAGATTTTTTGAGCTTTTATGTATTTTTGCCTTCTCGCGAAGTGAGAACTGAATTAATTGAATGAGAAAATACTGAATCGTCTGTGAAAAACTGTTTTTTTTGTTTTGTTTGCTTAATTTCTTTTATACATCGTTTTAGATTTATTATAGTATTTGAATAGAACATGTGGCAATGCTTAGATAATTCTTCAAATGATATAAAATTATATGCATTCTGAGTTATAATATGGATGAAATGTAACGCTGTTAAGTGAACTTAGCGCCACAGTGTCGCTATAGTAAACAAATCTAGTGAATTTTAAAAAGTGCATTTATTCTATTGTGGTTTATGCGCTATCGACGCAAATTTTTGACTTACTCTAATCTTTTCTAATCGATGTGTAGATCTTGATAATATCCTTTGAAAAAGCATGAAACCCATCGTCATCTAATGAATGACATGCAATTTTCTTCACATAAATTCGAATAAATACGAGTAACAAATACTGGTACCAGTAAAGTTTCTTATTCTATTTCACTCCGTAACTGAGATAAAATTTATCTATGTTCTCATACATAAAAATCCATCTTTGATGACATTGAGTTTTATTTAGACATTTAAAAGTACAGATACAAAATTACTCCATCATAAACAGAACCACATTTCATCTTAGTTAAACTTCTCATACCGTTTTTTACATCGGATTCTTAGAACTTTCTTCTAAAACTGCCATTCCGGCAAAGCATAACTTTTTTCCTTCATTAATTGTTCCAGATATTTATTTTCATTTATCGTCTGTGAAAGTCATTTTATTTTTTACAATTATTCGAATAAGCTTATACAACTTATCAGCTGTTTAACCTTATTATCATGTATAAATTCGAATAAGCTCTGATGCTGATCTTTGACGTCACCAGTGTTCCTTAACTGGTCAAACCATCAGTGACGTAACGCGCATGCCTTATGTCTCTGGTGATATCATCATCAAAAAGCTCTCACTGGCTCCATTTCCACAAAAAACAGAATTAAAAATATATACGCAGAATTTTTCGTCGACTGATGGCGGCCACCTGACTTTTACTTTCGTCTTTGTTTTATTGGTGTTCTTCACGTGATACAGAGTAAAAGCAGGCGCTGCTTTCTGAAACTGAAATTCACTATATGTTCTTAGTAGTATACACAGAAAAACAACTAGCGCGAGGACAGCGCAACCTATACAGAAGGATAAAATAAGGCATAAGAACATTTTTTTTTCTTTAAACTTAACACTACATGTAGGAATGGAATATTACTTTTGAATGGAGAGTAACAGTAACAATATAAATAATATAATTTATTATTGTATTGCCTATATTATTATTATTGAAATATTTATAAATATCAA